TAAATAATTAATTAAGATATTTAAAAATATCAGTATATAAATTTATTAACTATAATAAATATATTTTATTGGTTAAACCCCTATTTTGGTCCCTGAACTATTGTACGGACCCCCGATTTGGTCTCTGAACTAAAGAAATCCCTAATTTGGTCCTTGAACTATTATACGGACCCCTGAGTTGATCTCTAAACTATTGTATGGACTGCCAAGTTAGTCCCTAAACTATTATACGGATGCTCAATTTGGTCCCTACTGTTTACCAATTTAACACCAACTTGGTCTTTCTGTTAAATAATAGCTCAGGGACCAAATTGGGACGAAATTGTAAATAGTAAGGACCAAATTGGGGGTCCGTACAATAGTTCAAGGACCAAGTTATGCCAAATTATAAACAGTGGGGACCAAATCAGGGGTCCATACAATAGTTTAAGGACTAAATCAGGGATTTCTTTAGTTCAGGGACCAAATCATGGGTCCGTACAATAGTTCAAGGACCAAAATGGGGATTTAACCCATTTTATTCTGTTATTTGTCAATTAATAGTTGTAATTATTAATTATTTTTAATAATGAAATAAAATCAAATTAATATTTTAAAATTTTATTATGTAATTATAACCACAACTTATCTAAATATCATAAAATTTAAATTTAATACAATTTACTCCTAAAAATATAAAAAATAAATCACCACTATGTTACAATGGTTAGAATTTTTTATTTATCATCAAAACAAACTATATACTCCCTATACTTCATTTTAATTAACATTTTAGAAGTTTTTTTTTTTGTTTCTTTTTATATATTGTTATCACCTTTCTACGTATTTTATTATTATTTTTTATTTTAGTTATACAATGAAAAACAATCATCTCTTATTCTTTATTTTATATTACTCGTATATCATATAACTTAAATTCAAAATTTCTTATTTTCAACGAATGAAATTAACCACTAAATTATTTAGATTTTCTTCGGTTATTATTAATTACCTTTCTTTCATGTTCGCCCTCCACAAAGTAGCACCCAAATTCCGTCGTTTCTTCGTCTTAGACCCCGTTTGGTATAGCGGTTTTAGGTAGCAGTTAACGGTTTTATCTAAACCGTTAAATATAGGTGTTTGATAAATTTATATATTTCAAAACAAAACCGCTACAACTAAAGTGTTTGGTAAAATTTTTATTTAACGGTTTGAGACTAGCGGATAGCGATTAGGGTCTAAATCGCTAGCAGATTGAAAAAGTTAGTTTATGTAGCTTTTTGTACCAAACCGCTAACGGATTAAAATTTTTTAATTTTATTGACAAATTTATCCATTTTAATTTTTTAGTTTGTGATCACATTTTTTAATTAATAATTATCTAATAAATTTTAATTTTGTTTTTTACCTTT